TTCTGGCTGTTTCACCTACGTAAATCTTGTCACAGCCTCCACAGGGTATAGTGTAAACTCCTGCATTGACTGGTTCGTGGTGCTTGGATTTTGTCCTGGTTAGATCCTTTATTGAAGTGCTAGAAGCGATGGCGACTCTGGTGTTAGCTTGTGAAAGTACTTTTGAGACGTTCAGTGCAACCTGGCTGTTGGGAAGAATTATAACTTTGCTGGGAGTGGTGTTGATGCGTGGAGAATTTATGATCTGAAGAGCTCTTTTCTTGCAGTCTTTGATGAAAAAAGAAGGAAAATGTAACTCGTCAAGAAACTCAGGACTACAAATTCTTGAACTTGAACAACACCGAAATTCCACCAATCATCTCATGAAATTCAGAGACGCCCAATTAGTGATCAAAGAAACTAATTTCCGCAGACGCAAGTGCCTCGAATCAGCATTGATCACTGTTTCGAATACAATTAAACAAAACAACGGCAGCTTCACCATCTCCGAAGTCTTAGCAAGAATCCTCCTGAAAACAGTAAACCCTGCCATCACATAGTCTCTCCTGTTATACTACACAAAGCACATTACAGAGAGTGAACACTGAAACAAGCTGCCTCTTTCCAGTCTATATTTGTCCAACCTATTTTTATGTTACCCAAGTAATAGCTTTTATATCCTTTAACTCATGTACGAATTAATTGCTCTACCATTTGTATTACTTTGTCACTACTACTACTACTACTACTACTACTACTACTACTACTACTACTACTACTACTACTACTACTACTACTACTACCACTAGTGAACATAGACATGGTGCCTCACTAGTATTGCACCTCACTCTGAGCCTTTATATACCCTCTGTGTCCATGTATTGTTTGTAATGGCTTGATAAAGCTCCTGGAGAGCGAAACGTTGCCACAATAAATGTCACATTAGTTGCACTTGTGTCCTTTTACTTTACATATTGTCGGTAATTCTACCAACTTTATTACCAACAATGTTAACAATAACAACGATATTAACACCAACAACAATGTTAACACCAACAGCAATGTTAACAACCTCAGCAATGTTAATACCAACAATGTTAACACCAAGAACAATGTCAACACCAACAACAATGATAACACCAACAACAATGTTATCACCAAACAATGTTAACACCAACAGCAATGTTAACACCAACAACGTTGTTAACACAAACAAGAGTGTTAACACCAACAACAATGTTAACACCAACAACAATGTTAACACCAACAACAAAGTTGTCACCAACAACGATGTTAACACCAACAACAATGTTATCACCAACAATGTTAACATCAACAGCAATGTTAACAACCACAGCAAGCTTCCCACCAACAATGTTAACACCAATAACAATGTTATCACCAACAATGTTAACACCAAAAACAATGCTAACACCAACAACAATGTTCACATCAACACCAATGTTAACGCCAACAACAATGATAACACCAACAACAATGTTATCACCAACAATGTTAACACCAACAGCAATGTTAACACCAACAACGATGTTAACACAAACAACAATGTTAACAACAAAAACAATGTTATCACCAACAATGTTAACACCTATAGCATTTTTAACACCAATAACGATGTTAACACCAACAACGTTGTTAACACAAACAACAATGTTAACACCAACAACATTGTTAACACCAACAACAATGTTATCACCAACAATGTTAACACCAACAGCAATGTTAACAATGATAACGATGTTAACACGAACAACAATGTCAACACCAACAACAATATTAACACCCACAACAATGTTAGCACCAAAAACAATGTTATCTCCAAGAATGTTAACACCAATATCAATGTTAACACTAACTACAATGTTAACACCAATAACAATGTTAACACCAACAACAATGTTAACACCAAGAACTTTGTTAACAACCACAACAATGTTAACAACCACAACAATGTTAACAAACACAGCAATGTTAACAACCACAACAATGTTAACAACCACAGCAATGTTAACATCCATAACAATGTTAACACCAACAACAATGTTAACACCAACAACAATGTTAACACCAACAACAATGTTAACAAAAACAACAATGTTAACACCAACAACAATGTCAACACCAACAACAATGTTAACACCAACAACAATGTTAACACCAACAACAATGTTAACAACTACAGCAATGTTAACACCAACAATGTTAACACCAAGAACAATATCAACACCAACAACAATGTTAACACCAACAACAATGTTATCACCAAACAATGTTAACACCAACAGCAATGTTAACACTAACAACAATGCTAACACCAACAACGTTGTTAACACAAACAAGAGTGTTAACACCAACAACAATGGTAACACCAACAACAATGTTAACACCATCAACAATGTTGTCACCTACAACGATGTTAACAACAACAACAATGTTATCACCAACAATGTTAAATCATCAGCAATTTTAACAACCACAACAAGTTTCCCACCAACGATGTTAACACCAACAACGATGTTAACACCAACAACAATGTTATCACCAACAATATTAACACCAACAACAATGTTAACAACCACAACAAGTTTCCCACCAACAATGTTAACATCAACATCAATGTTAACACCAACAACAATGTTAACACCAACAACAATGTTAACGCCAACAACAATGTTAACACCAACAACAATGTTATCACCAACAATGTTAACACCAACACCGATGTTAACACCAATAACAATGTTAACAATAAGAACAATGTTATCACCAACAATGTTAACACCTACAGCATATTTAAAACCAATAACGATGTTAACACCAACAACGTTGTTAACACAAACACCAATGTTAACACCAGAAACATTGTTAAAACCAACAACAATATTAACACTAACAACAATGTTAACACCAACAACAATGTTATCACCAATAATGTTAACACCAACATCAATGTTAACACTAACTACAATGTTAACACCAATAACAATGTTAACACCAACAACAATATTAACACCACGAACTTTGTTAACAACCACAACAATGTTAACAACCCCAACAATGTTAACAAACACAACAATGTTAACAACCACAACAATGTTAACAACCACAGCAATGTTAACATCCATAACAATGTTAACACCAACAACAATGTCAACACCAACAACAATGTTAACACCAAGAACTTTGTTAACAACCACAACAATGTTAACAACCACAACAATGTTAACAACCACAACAATGTTAACAACCACAGCAATGTTAACATCCATAACAATGTTAACACCAACAACAATGTCAACACCAACAACAATGTTAACACCAACAACGATGTTAACACCAACAACAATGTTAACAACAACAACAATGTTAACAACCACAGCAATGTTAACACCAACAATGTTAACACCAAGAACTATGTCAACACCAACAACAATGTTAACACCGACAACAATGTTATCACCAAACAATGTTAACACCAACAGCAATGTTAACACTAACAACAATGCTAACACCAACCATGTTGTTAACACAAACAAGAGTGTTAACACCAACAACAATGTTAACACCAACAACAATGTTAGCACCAACAACAATGTTGTCACCAACAACTATGTTAACACCAACAACAATGTTATCACCAACAATGTTAACACCAACAACAATGTTAACAACCACAACAAGTTTCCACCAACAATGTTAACACCAACAACGATGTTAACACAAACAACAATATTATTACCAACAATGTTAACTCCAACAACAATGTTAACAACCACAACAAGTTTCCCACCAATAATGTTAACATCGACAACAATGTTAACACCAACAACAGTGTTAACACCAACAACAATGTTAACGCTAACAACAATGTTAACACCAACAACAATGTTATCACAAACAATGTTAACACCAACAGCAAAGTTAACACCAACAACAATGTTAACAACAAGTACAAGGTTATCACCAACAATGTTAACACCAAGAACAATGTTATCACCAACAATGTTAACACCTACAGCATTTTTAACACCAATAACGATGTTAACACCAACAACGCTGTTAACACAAACAACAATGTTAACACCAACAACATTGTTAACACCAACAACAATGTTATCACCAACAATGTTAACACCAACAGCAATGTTAACAATAATAACGATGTTAACACGAACAACAATGTCAACACCAACAACAATATTAACACCATCAACAATGTTAACACCAACAACAATGTTATCACCAACAATGTTAACACCAACAGCAATGTTAACACTAACAACGATGCTAACACCAATAACGTTGTTAACACAAACAATTTAACACCTACAACAATGTTAACACCAACAACAATGTTAACACCAACAACAATGTTAACTCCAACAACAATGTTAACACCAACAGCAATGTTAACACGAACAATATTAACACCTCCAACAATGTTAACAAGCACAACAATTTTCACACCAACAATGTAACAACAACAATGTTATCACCAACAATGTTAACCCCAACAGCAATGTTAACACTAACAACGATGTTAACACCAACAACGTTGTTAACACAAACAACAATGTTAACAACAACAACAATGTTAACACCAACAACAATGTTAACAATAATAACGATGTTAACACCAACAACACTGTCAACACCAACAACAATATTAACACCAACAGTGTTAACATCAGCAATGATAACACCTAAAACTTTGTTACACCAACAACAATTTTAACATTTCAACAATATTAACATCCGCAACAATATTAACACCAACAAGATGTTAGCACCATCAACACTGTTAACACCAGAAACAACGCTGTTAACACCTATAATGTTAAAAGATAGTTAATGTTATGATATACAGTAACATTATTAACTTTTAGAATAATGTTAGTTTATCTTATCATGTATAGTATATTAACGTTGTTAACATTAACAATAATGTTAAGATAATGTTATCATGAATATTAACATTATTAACAATAATAACAACTGACCGATGTTGTAGAAGCTCTAGCACGTTGTCAGAAGTGGTTGTGTCAGCATGATGGTTGTCAGAAGTGGTTGTGTCAGCATGATGGTTGTCAGAAGTGGTTGTGTCAGCATGATGGTTGTCAGAAGTGATGATTGTGTCAGCATATTTGATGTGGTGGTATAGTTCCAGTTGTGTACAGTGGTGGTGGGTGAGGGCAGCCAGCAGGTGAGGCAGGTGAGGCAGGTCCCCAGGAACACCACGGATAGTAATCTCCACCTTGCAGGAGCTGAGGTGTGGCAGAAGAGCAGCGTAGCTTCTCACACGTCCATCATGTACGTCAATTGTTGCTTCATTATTGAATAAGCGCGATAATTGTTTGACAATTACTGGAGACATGTTAGTGTTGTCAAGGAGGTGGAGCCACTGGTTGTTGTGTCTCATACCAGACTCTTGTAGGAGATGAACCACTTCCCGTGCAGGTGTCTCAGCTACCTGGTCTAGTACCAGGTGCAGCAGCCCAGCCACATGTATCAGAACATTCTGGTACTTGTTCATGTCCACCCCATCTGACCTGATGCTCTCTTCTAACACTCCCCTGATACTGACAGGTGTGGCAGGTGTAGCTGAGGCAGGTGTAGCTGAGGCAGGTGTAGCTGAGGCAGGTGTAAGTGTAGAATACTGTGGGTTATTAAGCTTGTTCACAATGTAGAGAGCAGCGAAGTAGTCTTGTATACCCTTGTGAGGAGCTGAGTACCGCTCCTTGATCCCCAGCATCGTCCATGTTGGTCTTAAACAAAGGAACGCTGACAACACTTCTTTATAAGGTAAACACGATAGTTTACATATTCTTTTAAGATTTTTTAAAGTGTTTACTTCAAGGTCTAACTGATCCCGTGAAAGAGTTTCCATTGATATCTTATATATATTCATCAATATTATATTTACATTGTCAGTTAATTCCGTGTCATCCATATTCTTTGTATCTTGATGGTTGGTCAGTCTCTGTATTAACTTGTGTTTACACAGTTGATGAATATTATAATATAGCTCCGTGTGAGTGACAGATGTTAAGTTTAGCTTGTCAGGGTCTTGGTCCCAGATGTATATCATGAGAATCAAATTCATTGGTAGTCTTAAGTGTTCTTGAAGTCCTAACTTCCTCACCCTCCTTACCAGTTCATCAGTATTTCTGTTATTCCCTGTTTGTTTGGTTATCTCCTGGTGGTTCACACGCACGAATTGTTCCACATTTGTCCCAGATATACCATGTAGTGTTGCATGTTGCACAGTATACTCCGCAGGGATTGTTCTCATAAAGTTCTCAACTTTTTCTGGTCGTGATGTGCACAGAAAAGCAATATTAGAAGAGTACTTAAATTCTTGCAATAGACTCTGGACTAGTGTTCTAGAACTTTCATTGTCTTCATCAAGGCCGTCAATTATAATTAAGATCTTGCAAAGCTTCATCAGTTTCGAAAGAATTTCTTTGAATTTTATAGCCACTTCTGGCATCAGTCTGTCCTGGAGGTCCTGGTAGCAGGTCATTGTTGTGTCCCGGCACTGTACCCACAGTAGAAGCTCGTAATTATCTAAGTCACTAATATTACCTTGACCTCCCTGAGTCCATTCATCTATTACTAACGTCACTAGAGTTGTCTTGCCACTGCCAGCCACACCTTCAACCAATATTATATGTGGGTGAGTAGATGTACCCTGTTGTTGTGAGACCCTGTATGTAGATGACTGTGCTGATGTAGTCTGAGCAAGTTTAAGAAGGTGTTGGTAACTTATATGTTGACCTTGACCTCCACGTTGTCCATGTTTGACCTCAATATCTACAGAGATTTTGTCAACTTTAAGTTTCAAGTCACTAATGATGAAAGACACCGGGCTGACATAGCTGATACTCTGGAAGATCTTCTTAAGTTTGTCACGACTGCCATTAATCATAAGATGTTTGAGCTTGTCGCCACCATACATCAGTATGTCTTCCTCTCCAGGACTCTCATTTATAATGTGGTCCAGGACATCATTCATCTGTGTGACCTCCTGCTTCACATCATCCTGGTCTCTCCCATACTTCTCTCCAGATGTCTCAAGACAACCAGTTAGCAACTCCCGAAGATTTTTTAAGCTTTCTTTATATTTTTCATCAGTAACTGCAAGTTGACCGTGAAGAACATTGTTCCTCATGTTCATTACTGAAGTAATGTAATATTCCATTACGTTACCTTCAGTATACCATTTTTGATCATTGACTGGAGCTACATCCTTACAGGCGAGTTTGATGCTATGATACAACAGTGATACATCAAACTCTGATCCATCTGGACTCTTGTTAATCGTCTCTTTTTGTGTTTTGTCAAAGGTTTTTGATGTTACTGGAACATTTATTTTGTTTAAGTAATCATCCAGCTTCATACTGGCAGGTTTGTCTGGGGTTCCCCAGAGAAATGTTTTATACAAGACATTTCTGGCACAGATCTTAACAGCCTTTACAAGTCTACAGCCATTAAACACTTGTTGATCAGCCATAGTGTGTTATGACATATATACTGTGATGTTAAGAGGTTGAAGGAGACCCAGCTGCTGCTGCTGAATGCTGTTGCTGTTAATATTGCTGCTGCTGTTGTTGTTGCTGCTACTGCTGCTGCTGTTACTGTTGCTGCTGCTGCTGTTGTTGCTGCTGTTGCTGCTGGTGCTGCTGCTGTTACTGTTGCTGCTGTTGTTGTTGTTGCTGTTGTTGCTGCTGCTGCTGCTGTTGCTGCTGCTGCTGCTACTGCTGTTACTGCTGCTACTGTTACTTTTACTGCTGCTGCTGTTGTTACTGTTACTGCTGCTGCTTTTATTACTGTTCCTGCTGTTAATGTTGTTGTCGTTGCTGCTGCTGTTACTGTTGTTGCTGCTGCTGCTGCTATTAGTGTTGCTGCTGCTGCTGTTAGTGTTGCTGCTCCTCGTTAACAGTAGCGCAAGAAGTGACGATCATCACTGACTCACTTCCAACATCTGAAAAAAATAACATAAAGTATAATAATATTACAAGTGTCATTGTCACATGCATATTACAAGTGTCAGAGTGTCACATGTATAATATTACAAGTGTCACTGTCACATGTATATTACAAGTGTCAGACTGTCACATGTATAATATTACAAGTGTCAGACTGTAACATGTATAATATTACAAGTGTCAGCCTGTAACATGTATAATATTACAAGTGTCAGACTGTAACATGTATAATATTACAAGTGTCAGACTGTAACATGTTTAATATTACAAGTGTCAGACTGTAACATGTTTAATATTACAAGTGTCAGACTGTAACATGTTTAATATTACAAGTGTCAGACTGTAACATGTATAATATTACAAGTGTCAGACTGTCACATGTTTAATATTACAAGTGTCAGACTGTAGCATGTATAATATTACAAGTGTCAGACTGTAACATGTTTAATATTACAAGTGTCAGACTGTAACATGTATAATATTACAAGTGTCAGACTGTAACATGTATAATATTACAAGTGTCAGACTGTAACATGTATAATATTACAAGTGTCAGACTGTAACATGTATATTACAAGTGTCAGACTGTAACATGTATAATATTACAAGTGTCAGACTGTAACATGTATAATATTACAAGTGTCAGACTGTAACATGTATAATATTACAAGTGTCAGACTGTAACATGTATAATGTTACAAGTGTCAGACTGTAACATGTATAATATTACAAGCGTCAGACTGTAACATGTATAATATTACAAGTGTCAGACTGTAACATGTATAATATTACAAGTGTCAGACTGTAACATGTATAATATTACAAGTGTCAGACTGTTACATGTATAATATTACAAGTGTCAGACTGTAACATGTATAATATTACAAGTGTCAGACTGTAACATGTAATATTACAAGTGTCAGACTGTAACATGTATAATATTACAAGTGTCAGACTGTAACATGTATAATATTACAAGTGTCAGACTGTAACATGTATAATATTACAAGTGTCAGACTGTAACATGTATAATATTACAAGTGTCAGACTGTAACATGTATAATATTACAAGTGTCAGACTGTAACATGTATAATATTACAAGTGTCAGACTGTAACATGTATAATATTACAAGTGTCACTGTCACATGTATAATATTACAAGTGTCAGACTGCAACATGTATAATATTACAAGTGTCAGACTGTCACATGTATAATATTACAAGTGTCAGACTGTAACATGTACAATATTACAAGTGTCAGACTGTAACATGTATAATATTACAAGTGTCAGACTGTAACATGTATAATATTACAAGTGTCAGAATGTAACATGTATAATATTACAAGTGTCAGACTGTAACATGTATAATATTACAAGTGTCAGACTGTAACATGTATAATATTACAAGTGTCAGACTGTCACATGTATAATATTACAAGTGTCAGACTGTAACATGTATAATATTACAAGTGTCAGACTGTAACATGTATAACATTACAAGTGTCAGACTGTAACATGTACAATATTACAAGTGTCAGACTGTAACATGTATAATATTACAAGTGTCAGACTGTCACATGTATAATATTACAAGTGTCAGACTGTAACATGTATAATATTACAAGTGTCAGAATGTAACATGTATAATATTATAAGTGTCAGACTGTAACATGTATAATATTACAAGTGTCAGACTGTAACCTGTATAATATTACAAGTGTCAGACTGTAACATGTATAATATTACAAGTGTCAGACTGTAACATGTATAATATTACAAGTGTCAGACTGTAACATGTATATATTACAAGTGTCAGAATGTAACATGTATAATACTACAAGTGTCAGACTGTAACATGTATAATATTACAAGTGTCAGACTGTAACATGTATAATATTACAAGTGTCAGACTGTAACATGTATAATATTACAAGTGTCAGACTGTAACATGTTTAATATTACAAGTGTCAGAGTGTAACATGTATAATATTACAAGTGTCAGACTGTAACATGTATAATATTACAAGTGTCAGACTGTAACATGTATAATATTACAAGTGTCAGACTGTAACATGTATAATATTACAAGTGTCAGACTGTAACATGTATAACATTACAAGTGTCAGACTGTAACATGTATAATATTTCAAGTGTCAGACTGTAACATGTATAATATTACAAGTGTCAGACTGTAACATATATAATATTACAAGCGTCAGACTGTAACATGTACAATATTACAAGTGTCAGACTGTCACATGTATAATATTACAAGTGTCAGACTGTAACATGTATAATATTACAAGTGTCAGACTGTAACATGTATAATATTACAAGTGTCAGACTGTAACATGTATAATATTACAAGTGTCAGACTGTAAAATGTATAATATTACAAGTGTCAGACTGTAACATGTATAATATTACAAGTGTCAGACTGTAACATGTATAATATTACAAATGAACATGAAATTACCATCAGTGAAGTGTACAGTCAGTTATATGAACTGATGAATAGATGTCAAAGTACAAGTCTGGGCCGGAACACTTCCATGGATTGAACACAACCTGGAAGAACAATTACATCGCTGAATAAACATTACCTGGAAGAACACTACTGGAAGAAACTACCGATGTAACACTACCCTGGATGAACACTGCCCATGGAAGAACACTTCCCTGGATAAACACTTCCACTGGAGAACCTACCCTGGATGAACACTACCTGGATGAACAATACCTGGATGAACTACCCTGGATGAACACTTACCCTGGAAAACACTTCCTGTGAACATACACTGGAAGAACAGTTCCTGATGAACACTAACCCTGGAATGACACTTCCCGGATGAACACTTACACTGGAAGAACACTACCCTGAATGAAACACTACCCTGGAAGAACACTCCTGGATGAACACTACTGGAAGAACATACCTGGAAAACATACCCTGGAGGAAAACTACCCTGGAGGAAAAACAACACCCTGGATGAACTCTACACTGGAGGAACACTACCCTGAATGAAAAAACTACCATGGAGAAAACTACCCTGATGAACATTACCCTGGAAGAACACTACCAGAAAAGAAAACACTAACCCCTGGAGGAAACACAACCCTGGAGAAACACTACCCTGGAAGAACACTACCCTGGAAGAACACTACCCTGGAAGAACACTACCCTAAAAAAAACTACCCTGGGGAAAAAAACCTAAAGGAACCCTTTTCCCCTGGGGAACACTCCCCGGGGGGGGAAAAATCCCCTGGAAAAAAATTTACCCTGGTTAAAAAACCTGGAAAAACCCATACCCAAAGAACCCCTTACCCGGGAAAGGAAAACTACCTAAAAAGGAAAATTCCCCTGGAAAAACAACCCGGGAAAAGAACCACTACCCTTTAAGGGGAACATCCCCTTTAAAGAACACTACCTGGAAAAAAACATAGGGAAAAACCACTCCCCTGGAAGGAAAACCCCCGGGGAAAAAACCCCTCCCCGGGAAAGTACAACCCGGGAAGAAAAATTCCCGGGAAGAAAAACTACCATAAAAGAATTTTTACCCTGGAAAAAACATTTTCCCCTGGAAAAAACACTCCCCTTTGGGAAAGGAAACCCCCGGGGAAGAACTACCCCGGGAAAGGAAACACTCCCCGGGAAAAAGGAAAAAAGCTACCCTGGAAACCCCATTTACCAGAAGAAACCTAAAACCAAGAACCCCTACCTTTGGAAAGAAAACCCCCTGGGAAAAAACACTTCCCTGGAAGAACCCCACCCTGGAAGAAAAACACCCGGAAAGAAAAACTCCCCGGGAAAAAATACCCTGGAAGAAATCCCTGGAAAAACCCATTTCCCGGGAAAAACCTCCCCTGGAAAAAATTTTCCTGGAGAACAAAAAACCCAGGAAATCTCCCCGGGATGAACACTCCCAAGAAAAAACACTCCGGAAAAAACCACATGCAAAAAAAACCGGGGAAAAACACAAACCCGGGAAAAGATAGGAAAAAACAACCCGGAGGAAATCCCAATTAAAAGAGGGAAAACCCCTTTACCCGGGAAAGGAAAATCCCGGGTTGAACTCTCCCATGGAAAATTTCCCTGAAAAAAAACGGGAAAAAATTCCCCGGGAAAGAACCTAATTTGGAAAAAAAACATTTCCCGGGGGAATGACATCCTGGAAAAAACCCCCCCTGGAAAAAACACTACCCGGAAAATTAAAAAACTCCCCCGGGAAAGGAACCCCCTAACCCCTTGGAAAGGAACATTTTCCAGGAAAACCTACCCGGAAAAACCCCTAAAAAATCAAAAAAAACCATACCCTGGAAGAACCTACCCAAAAAACCAAAACCTGGAAGAACACTAAACCGGAAAAAAACATTCCCGGGGGAAAAAACACTCCCCTGGGGGAATACCCTGGATTTAACTCCTGGAAGAACACTACCAAAGAAACCCGGGGCCCAAAATTTTTAAAGAAACAAACCTGGAAAAAAATTCCCGGGGTAAGAAAAAAAACCCCGGAAAAACATTTCCCCGGAAAAAAAACACCCTGGAGGGAACTTACCGGGGAAGAACTTTCCCCAGGAAAAAACTCCTTGGGGGAAAATCCCCTGGATAAACCCCTTTTCCCCTGGAAGAACATTTACCCTGAAAGAACACAAACCCTGGAGGGAAAATCCCCTGGAAAAAAACCTACCCTGGGGAAGAACACTCCTGGAAAAAAACACCACGGGAAAAAGAACATCCCCGGGGAAGAACTTTCCCGGGAAAAAACCCCACCATGTAAAACATTTACCTAAAATAACACTCCCTTTAAAAAGAACACTACTTAAAAAAAAAAATCCCCTTTTAAAAAATTGAAAAAAACCAAACGCGAAGAAAATCCCCCCCCCCCCCCCCCCCCCCCCCCCCCCCCCCCCCCAACCGGGGGAAAAGGAAAAAAACAAACCCTGGAAAAACCCTTCCCCTGGAAGAAAAACTACCCGGGGAAAAAAAC